GCGTGCTACACAATGCCCCCCATGATCTAAAATGTGTAGTATGATAGGGGGATGTCAGAAATACTATTTTCGATGTTTCAATTGTGATACAAGGTCACTTGTATGCCTAGATACTAAAAACTCAAGATTTGGTATAGGCTTCTGTAGGGAATAGTGTGCACTATGACAAGAAAGCTCAAATCAACATATATACTTGTAGCCTGTAACACTTCAAGAACATTGAAAATAGTATTTCTGATATCCCCCTATCATTCTACACATATTTTAGATCATGGGGGGCATTGTGTAGCACGCTATGATATGTTTTTATGTCTTTTTCATATGTTTGTATACTTTCCCATGCATGTCCCACCTCTACATTCCTTCCACAACTCTTAGCTTAGTGTCTGATTGCTCAGGAGTGTATAAATGGTTGCCTATATGTGCATTGCATGTGTTCTAACTCTCAGATCTCGAATATATGTTTGATTAACCCTCCAGAACACTGATCTTCTCATATGTCCCCTATCCCTATGAAATCAAACTATCGGCCTCCTGGAGCTATGAGACTGTGTTAAAATGTCATCTAGAGTGTGTATAGCATAATATAAGTATATAGTCCCATGTACAGTGTATGATGATACATAAAATCATTAAAAATGCTAATTATATTGTTTTAATAGAACTAATTGCCTAATGGTAGCTGGTAGCAAATAAAAGTGGTCAAGTATGTTCTATTAGGTATATAATGGCTAATATACATGATTTATATGAGCCTACTACACAGGAGGGAGCAGGGGGAGGCTTGGGGAGGCTGGGAAACATTGATATTATGAGACTACCTAATTGAGTAATGTTTTGGGCGGTAGTACTCAGCCACTACCGCTTTGGGGCAATCTGAAAAGAAAAAAGAGAACTCAGTGGTTTCCCAATTGGGTAATCCTTGTAAAACACGGACGGTTCAGTTCTGGTCACACATGGTTTCTTTCAGTCCTTGTAATTCCATCAGCAGTTATCCCTACACGACACCACCACCAACCCCCCACGCCTCCTCGCTAAACTCACACCACTCACAAGCCTCACGTGCCATGTTACAAGACACCCGCAAGCCTCCCACACTCCTCGCAAGGACAGTTGTTGCCCTTCTGCAACTACCGTCTCTTTCTAGCAAGGGAGTAGCAGGATAATGAATTCCAACACCAACCTACCTTTGTACTTGTTTGTTCACTTTCGGGTCTCATATTTGACTTTTTGTCTATCTTTTTGTTCTTCGTATGTTTGAACATGATGTATTAAGAGGATATCTTTCTATAGTATAAATGAACATATTTTGATGAGCATGAAGAATACTCGCCTGTGAAGAAGTGGCTGCAGGAGGTGATGTAATTTTTACACCAAATCTAGGGGGAGAATTACTGCATTTGGTCACTGCGGTCTGGCAAACAATGTGTCGTCCTAGGCCCATGTCTGATGCTGTATGGCCCTCCAGTCCCTCTTTTCACTACAATACATTGCATAATAAGGTGTCACACAGCACCTGCCAGTGGCCACTGGATGGCTTCTCCGACCCCGACTTTGAGCTTAGCTCTGATTCCGAGCCTACCCCTGAGGATGGAACCACTCTCACATGTTACAATCCAGAGCCTGCACTGCCGAAATTCTTTATGTGCTGGATCATGACTCGGAGGTGGATATGACAATAGAGGATGACTGCCAATTTGAATCAGTGTTCAAGTCGAAAGAGCTGCCCTATGATAATATCAGTATCAACTTACTGACATGGACATGCAAGTTGATGGCACAAATGCCTCACCACTGGCAGACGAAATCAGGGACACAGACCCTGAGATCCATTGGCAGGATGGCAAGAGACAGGGTTACTGCATCTTGTGTAGTGAGTGGGTTGGTCTCAAACAGAGCAAATCATCTCTGTACCAGTTCTACAGGCATAGTGCATCTGCTTCCTGTCAAAGAATGGCACAGAAGAAGGAGAGGGAAAAGACTAGAAAGGAAGAGGCTCACCTTCGAGAACAGTACTTCACCACCAGAACATCCCCGCAATTCTGCGCTGCATCAATATCGACCACTGAGACAGATATAACCTCCTGCTTCTCATTGTCTGTGACGACACACCAGTCATCACCCTCTGCATCTCATCTACCATTCCCTTGAGTCTATTCAACACTCCCTCGCCACCCCCTGAATGGACATCCGACCATCACGAGTCCATCACGTTTGAGAGTCCTGAGCCCCGCCTCATCTCTGAGTCCTCCAAAATGCCCGTAATGACGGAACAACCCAGTGTATGCAATGGCCATCATCCTCAATGGCCTGTTGGTACTGTGTTTGAAAACCTATCCCTGGACTCAGCATGAATATGGAGGCAAAGAGTTTAGGTTACAATTTTTGTGCTGTTGAAAAAAATGGGAAGACTTTCCGCCATCCGTTCACATAAGTGTTCAGGGTTCGCAGGAGAGGGGGAAGATGCTTGTTGCACATGTCGTAGTGCACAGACAACAAAGGCCCATCTTATGATTGAGGAACGTGCTCATGTTGCATTGCCACATACACCATATTGTTCTTGACACATCAGCAACTTTGTGAGCTGTTACGAGCTACAAACAACAATTAAACAAGTAATAAACTGAAGGTAAATACCACCCAGCTGAGCTGTTGCCGTATTTCCTTCATATTCTAACACTGGAGCTCCATCAGATCTTGAACCTTTCGCGCAAATTGAGCACCATGATTTGACATCTTGGAGATTCAAAGAGATTTATTATGGCCATTGCTTCATCCGACTACCAAAGGTTAGGTCAGCTTGTCGGTGTTGCACTTCACCAATGATCAAGCTGGCAAGCAATAGTGAGGATGATTCAGGAGGCAGCAAAGAAAGTGAAACAAACACACTGCTATTCGCAAAAGGATTTTGATATTGTTTGCCTGATTGATATCATTGGTGGACCCAAACTTGGGTATGCAATGAGTCATGCTCTAGGCCTCCCCTCTGTCATGGCTGCTATGTGTCATTTTGAGTGTAGAAAACTGATGCCCAGTGTTGGACCCGTCAAGGACACAGAAATCAATCACAACATCTCAGAGTTCTTTGGGAAGCTTTCCCCCCGCCCCAGGCATGGTCACAATCTCCAATTGGATGAACTTGCCATCAATGAGGGGGCATACTACAATAAATCTTGCAATGCCATTGGGGGACTTTGCCATGATCATTCAGAGCTGCTTGACCTGAAAATTGTCGACCACAACTCTGTCCTCCATGCCTCAGAAGCCATCCACGGCAAACATTGTGTTTGCCACTATGGAAGGAAGCAACTGTAGCTGCCATTGTAGCATTTCCAAAGGACCATTATGGTCCCCTTCCCATTCTAGTGTCTCCAACGCGCAAGGCAGCTAATTTCATTCAGCGGATGTTGGATTGCTGGTGTCATCATGCTGCTGGAGAGGCTTGTTTTAGTCCTATCCGGTGCTTCTCCACAGACGGAGATGCAATGTGGAGATTAGCGTGCTACTCGCTTTTCATGAAAAGGGACCTCGACCCCTCGAGTGAAATATATGAGAGCCTTTCCCAGCTGTCAGGGTTGAATTTGAGGGTTGGTGATCACGACGTCATGATGGATTTTGATCCCAAGCACCTGATTAAATGTATGTCATATTAACCTAAGCATTCTGCATCAGTGACTAACATGCTTCCTGTTCTAGGTCATGCTACACTATTGCAGTCCCCTCAAGGGATCTTGGTTTTTGACATACTCATCACATGTGAGATTCTGGCTCAGCATTTCTTGTGCCTGGGGCATCTATCCACGAAGGAGATTAATGATCTCCTTGCTCAGGGTGATGGACAAAATGTTCCCCATGCCATGAAGCTTCTCTGCAGTGTCGCTATGCTTCAGGCACTCAACTCCACGTCCTCACAGTATAATCCCACGAACCAGAAAATTCATGCTGCACTTCGAGTTCTTGCTGTCCTTTGTGAATCCCTTGTCGAGCCATTCTTTAATTGCGAGATGTCTCTGAAGCAACAACTCAAGTGTCTCACAACATATGCACACCTTAGCTTTCTTCTCTATCGGAATAACGGCACCTCATTCATGTCTAATCAACTCTATGGCGACACTCAGGCCACTGTCAAGAATGTCATGTTTCTTGTCGTGAAGGTGCAGATCCTCGATGACACCCAGCCATTTTACCTCATTCAAGATGGTGATGACAGGCTTGAGGGAAGCTTTGGCCATGTACGAACCGATGACCACGATCCAAATATGGGCATTCAGGGGCTGTATGAGAAGCTAGGATCTGCAGCTGACAACTCTGACATCTTCGAGCATCATGCAGATTGGGACAGAGGTAATTGGAGACTTGGTAATGGAAAACTAGGTGCTGACCACATGAATCCTGCATCGTGGAAGGGTGATGTGGTTTCTGGAGGTGTCTCTCTGCAGATGGAGTGGATTCGAGGCACTGGTGCTGTCACGGTGGTCCTTGAAAGCCTTGGTCGAGACGTGCCAGACTGGACAAAGCTATTCTACAGTGGAACTGTTGATCTGATGAAGCCGATGGGAGATGGGAAGTATCCTGGAGTGTCGCAGGATCCTGACCACACTACTGTCAATGTGCCAATCACAGAACAATGTCTTGCAGCTACTGCAGGTGATGTTGCTGAAGCTTGGTCAATTGATGGTTTGGACACGGACACCCAACATGAAACACTCAACGCCGATGAGACAGATGGGTTGGTTTTCGCAACGGACACCTTAACCGCTGGTGATCATCCAATAGATGTACCTGCAATAACCCTGCGAGATCTCATTCCTGAGCCTAATGAACAAGAGAATGAGCAGCATGATTGGCTTCTCTTTGAAGGGAAGAAGGTTCACAAAGCTTCTGTCATACGGTGCCTCTTTTCATCCAATAAGGCAAAGAAGTCCAGAGAATGCCTCCTTCGTGTCCATGGATATACACGCAAGTTCTCCCCCAAAAGCAGCCTTAACTGCGATGATCTCATGGGGGATCACTTTCTTGTTGGTGACCTCGCAGCTATCATCATCCGCTGTGACCAGGTAGTATCTCTTGCTATCATGCAGGTTGCCTCAATTGAGCAGGACTTGCAGAGAGTAACTGCCATCAAAGAGGAGAGTCTTCACTTGTCGACAACTAGTACCTGTTATGGCTGTGCTTATCTTGCTTCTTTTTCCCTTGATACACGCTTACTACGCATGTCTCTTATCATGCTATATTTAGTTCGGTATTACTCAGACGCCTCATTGCTTACGCATGTGCTTACTGATACATACCTATTATTACGTCAGACCCTGTACCCTCTGTACTATATAAACCCTGGCTAGGTGACGCTGATTCTTCAGCTTAACCTACACTGGTTTTCCTCTGAACATCTGACTTGATTCTAAGTTACCTCTTCGGTACTTAGCCTTGACTTTACTTTGGGCGTTCTTAAGACTTTTGTCTTGAACGTATCGACAGACCTTTGGTCTTATTGATTATTGTTTGCCTGTGTTATACTTTGGCGTAACAAAGGTTAAGCTCTATCACAAGACGACGCTACCTTAGTAGTCGTCACAACACATCGTGGCTTATCGCGACCAACGACAGTACTCCTCGGAGTCAGAACACGAAGACAAACATTTCTCTGAACCAGGTTCTCCTATCCAAACGGATAAGAACGAATACTTTGAAGGATATGGACCTGATCAACCAGGACCATCAGAACCACTACCACCTAGACCTCAGACTCCGCCACCCTCATCTGAACCCAGTACACCACCTAAGAAGAAAATGGGTGAACTCAATTTGAACAGACCACCTAACTTCGACGGATCACAGAAAACGGCCAAGGCCTGGTGGACAACTGTCTCCACTTATATCACTGTGAACAAAGACGTATACGACAACCATGAAAAATGCATCACATTCGCAACGTCATTTATGACTAAGGGACACGCCCAACAATGGGCCACTGGATGGATCAATAGGAAGCACGATACCGCTACCCCAATGGGGAAATGGGAAGACTTCATTGCCGAATTCAAGGCAGTGTTCTACCCTAAGAACGACACGCTTACCGCTGTCAACGTAATGATGAAAGCAAAACAAACCTCCACCATCTCGGCATACATCACTTACTTTAAACGAATTTCGGCAGAAGCCCGATGCACGGATGCAGACGTCGAAACGACATGTTTCAGACAAGGACTTAGAAAGGAAGTCCAAGAAGCAATTCTCATGAGAGAAAAGATGCCCAACAATATCAAGGATTGGATTGATGCCGCCAGAGAATACGAATCCAGAAGACTTCTCATGAACTCTGGAGGAGGCTTTACGAAGAAGAATGATCCATACGCGATGGATATAGACAAGATCGACATCGACGAAGAAGAAGAAATGACTACAGTTCGCAACGCGCGACTTTCTAGATCAGAACAAGACAGACGTCGCAAATTAGGACTCTGCTTCAAGTGTGGGAAGAAAGGGCTTATGAAAGATTGCCCTAACCACAGAGAGTCCGCTCCTGGTTGGCAGAAACCGGCCGGACGACCAGTCCGTGAGACTAAGATCGAGCAAGACAATCAAGACACAGAGTATCAAGAATTCCTCGCTTGGAAAGCTTGGAAAGTGTCGAAAGTACCTTCTTCTTCTAAGAAGGATTTCTAAATGGGGAGACCGGACCGGCGTCGGAAACCCCTAGTACATCTATCGGACTCATTGTATCTTCTGTAGGAGATTTGAATTCTATGCGCATTCCTATTTCGATCGAATCCTGCAAGTCCGATAAAACCGCTGAAGCAGCTGCCCTAATTGACTCAGGCGCTGCTGGAACATTCATTGGCTGGAAATACGTACGAAAGAACAATTTCTCAACTCACAACCTCTCTTCACAAATTGAAGTCTGCAACGTGGATGGAATGAAGAACAAAGCAGGAACTATTAATAAGGCCTGCAATCTATTCTTCTCAGCAGGAGGCCGAACTATGTTCGCTACCTTCCTAATCACCTCCCTTGGAGGCGAAGACATCATCCTCGGACTTCCTTGGCTCAAAAATGAAAATCCAACAATAGACTGGGCTAAAAGCGAAATCTCGCTAGAAGAAGACCCAATCATGATTCAAACCCTTATCTCCGACAGAAACAAGCATGCTTCTATGCAGCCAAGAATAGAAGAAATCGAAGACGAAGACGCATACATATCCTCAGAAGATATCCCCGAGGGACAACCAGAACTTCTACCCAAAGAAGAAGAAGAAGATCAAGAAGAAATAATAGAAGAACTACAAGATGACGAAATTCTTATCGCTTATGTTAAAGGAGAAGCATTCATGGGAATGTATGAGAAAATCAATTTCGACTCGCCACTCACACAAGAACACATCCACACTACTTTCTCCTTCCTATCCCGAACAAACAGAATCTCCAAAGTCCCCAACTCCGCTCGATTCATGTTTGCTCCTCTTCCCGTACGAAAGGCTGCCAATGTCGCTCAACAACTAGCACAAGAAGCGTACGCTAAAGAAAAGCCAAAGACATTCGAAGAGCTTGTACCTGAAGTCTTTCATATGTACAAAGATGTCTTCAACAAAGCAGCCATGGATACACTACCCCCATCTCGACCCTTTGACCACAAAATAAAACTGAAACCGGACTTCGAACCGCGCTCTTGCAAAATCTACCCATTATCTGCACCAGAAGAAAAGGCAATGAACGAATTTGTAGATGAACATCTGGCTAAAGGGACTATCGTACCATCTCAATCCCCACAAGCATCTCCTTTCTTCTTTGTGGGAAAGAAAGACGGATCCCTCCGCCCTTGCCAAGACTACAGAAAACTCAACGATGCAACTGTAAAAGATGCGTATCCACTTCCTCGTATTCCCGACCTTATTGACAAGTTAAAAGGCGCAACAATCTTCACCAAAATGGATGTCCATGCAGGATATAACAACGTCAGAATTCATGGTCCAGATAGATGGAAAGCAGCATTTAAAACGTCACGAGGACTCTTCGAACCAACAGTCATGTTCTTCGGTCTATGCAACGCCCCCGCTACATTCCAGGCAATGATGAATGACATCTTCTCTGACATGATAGACGAAGGTTGGATGGTCATCTATATGGATGATATCTTAATCTTTTCCAAAGACCTCGAATCCCATCATCAACGAACAATGCGAGTGCTACAACGACTCTGTGATCACCAACTTGCTCTTAAACCCGAAAAATGTGTCTTTGACACCACCGAAGTCAAATACCTAGGTCTCCTCATCCGTCCTGGTCAAATTTGCATGGACAAGGTCAAGTTGGATGGAGTAGTCAAGTGGGAACAACCCACAACCGTCAAACATGTTCGATCATTTTTGGGATTCGCCAACTTCTACCACCGATTTATCGCTGACTATTCAACTATCGCGCGACCACTCATTGACCTTACTAAGAAAGATGCTATCTTTGATTGGTCATCAGCTTGCGATAAGGCGTTTACCGACCTGAAGAATTGTTTCCTCTCGGCTCCCATACTCTCCATCCCTGACAAAGACGCACTGTTCGCAATCGCCGTCGACGCATCTCTCTATGCTACCGGCGGCGTTCTCCTTCAAAAAGACTCTAATGGTGACTGGCACCCTTGTTCTTACCTCTCGCAAACTTTCTACCCGGCAGAACGAAACTATCAAATCTTTGACCGGGAACTGTTGGCTATCATACGAGCGTTGGAAGCCTGGCGTCATTACCTCGAAGGATCCCCTTTCCCAGTTCTTGTCATGACCGACCACAAGAACTTGACTTACTTCCGCCAAGCCCAACAACTCAATCGATGACAAGCTCGTTGGCTCCTATTTCTCTCGTGTTTTGATCTACAACTCCAACACGTACCCGGCAAAGACCTTTCTGTTCCAGATTCCTTATCCCGTAGACCTGATCATATTCCCATTGACGCGAAGGACAATTCCGATGTCACTGTCCTCCCCGATGGACTATTCATTAATCTTATTGACACCTCCATGCAGGAGAAAATCCGCATTTCATCCTCGGTGGACCCTGTAGTTCAACAAACCATCGATGCCCTTTCTAATCCCACCCTACCCCCTCCCTATGAAATCAGCGCTCTCTGATTGGACATTTTCCGATACTATTCTTACCTTCAAAGGTCGGAACTACGTTCCCCCAGGGCCTCTACGAAGGGAATTAATCTCCTTGCATCACGATTCCCCTACCGCCGGTCACCCTGGTCGTTTTAAGACTCAAGAAATCCTCTCTCGTGACTACTGGTGGCCAGGTCTTCCCACCTTTGTTCGCAAATATGTCGAAGGTTGTGCTGTTTGCCAACAGAATAAGGTCAACACTCATCCCATGAAGCCACCGCTTTGTCCTATTCCCGCCCCCACTTCATCCCGCCCCTTTGCCCAATGCTCGGTTGACCTTATCGTCGACCTTCCTCCATCGAATGGTTTCGATTCTATCATGGTCGTGGTAGACCATGGGCTTACGAAGGGGGTGGTACTCACGCCTTGCAACAAGATGATCAATGCAGAAGGAGTCGCCGACGTATTCTTCAACCACGTCTACACACGCTTTGGACTCTACGACAAGATTATCTCAGACAGAGGACCTCAGTTTGCAGCCAAATTCGTGCAAGAACTAGGACGGCTCCTTGGATATAAAATCGCACTCTCTACCGCATTCCACCCACAAACAGATGGAGAAACTGAACGAGTAAACCAAGAGTTAGAAGTATATCTTCGTATCTTCTGTGCGAATGATCAGACTTCATGGTCAGAGAAACTTCCCATGGCAGAGTTCGTACACAACTCCTGACATCATTCCGCACGAAACGCTTCTCCTTTCTATCTCATGATGGGATATCACCCTCAAGCACTACCATTGGCTACCGAGAAATCGGATTTCCCAGCCGTCGAAGCAAGAATATCAGAACTCCAGCAAGCCCGAGAAGAAGCTTTATCTTCACATGAACTCGCTAGAAAAAACCATGAGACAAAGAATCACCTGATCATTCACACCCTTTAAGAAAGGCGACAAGGTTTGGCTAGAAGCAAAGAACCTTCATCTCAATTACCCCAATAGGAAATTAGCACCCAAGAGAGAAGGACCCTTCACTATCTCGGAAGTACTCGGACCAGTCACATATCGCCTAAAACTCCCGAGCCAATGGCGTGTTCATCCGGTATTCCACGCAGCACTTCTTACGCCTTATCGTGAGAACAAAGAACACGGTCCTAATTCCCCGTCACCACCTCCTGACCTAATTGATGGAGAAGAAGAACACGAGGTAGAAGCAATCCTCGGACATAAGGGAACTCTCTCACGACGACGCTTCCTTGTCAAATGGAAAGGTTACCCATC